TAGAAGGTAGATCCCCTGCTATTGTTGTTGCATGTGTATTTGGTCAGAAGGCTTCCTTGGTGGCCTAATGAAGTTGATTGGTATCTCGGGCAACCCTGCTGTACTTGAGTGTGCAAGATGAAAGCTTCATTTTGATTTTCTGAGTGATGGTTCTGAACAATCTATCATTTCTCTCTTTCCGTATGCTGCGCACAAATGGCAACTGGCTGAGAGAGCTAATTTGTGTGGGAGGAAAAGGATGGACTGTGACCAACTGCGTGCAGTCCACGAACTGAGAGAGGGCCAATTGGGTGGAGAAATGTGGAATTTGCGTAGATTTTGGAAATGTGACCAAAATATGGTTAGAAAATGTGGGAGGTAGATTCCGAATGTGAGAGACATAGGGAACAAACATTGGGCATCATCAAGAAGTTCATTGGACTTTTTGTCAAGAGTGGGCAGTTTATCCAAACAGGCAAGCCATAGGATGAAGATGAACTGTAGGGTGTGGTGTTTAAACCAAAGGAGTTTAGCCGAAGGAGGGGGGTCGACAGAAGGGGATGTGATATTGCAGCTTTTCTATGGTCGGAGGGTGGGAGAGAGGTTGTTAATGGTGAGAGCCAGAGAGAATGAAGAGCAGCTGGACCATAGAAAGGAGTAAGAATTGGCTTCCTGGATTGAGAGGTATAGAGAGGCAGTATGCCTCGGTTTAGGGTTGAGTCTGCAAAGAGTATTTGGAATTCTCAATTGACCATTCTGAATAACATTTCCAACATAAGCATATCTCCCAATTGCAGTGCTCAAGGCAATTGCATGGGGGATCTTGAGGTATAGATAGCCAATTTTAAGTCATTGGTCAAACCTATATTGCATAGGCTCGGGTACACGTCAAATATTCATTTTATTTTATTTCTGGAGTAAAGTAATATTTTTATCTAATATAGTGTGAAAATGTAGGCATTTTATTCGTTTCAAAATAATAATATAATATAATTAAATTACCGCTTTTTAAGTATATGTCCAATAAAAAACTTCTGACACATATCTAATACCCATGTTAGAAAAATATGGATCCGACATGCATGATACTTGAATTGCTGAGTAGGTGAGATTGGCTTTGAAGGTTGAATTGGTGCTCAGTTGCACAAATACATGTCAGTCTCTCTCTATTCTATTTGGTAATTAATACATGTCCTCCTCTATCTGTTTCAAGTAATACAATTCATTCTTTTGCCGTAGCATATTATGCTATACCGGAGACACCTAATGCATGTATTGCCAGAAAGTTTTCACCAGTTCTTGAATGAAAATGGCATAGGACAAAATTATGTCATTTTTCTTTTTCATATTATAGTATGATTCTGTTGTTAAAAGTTGTGTGGTTTTTTTTGGATATTTTCACCACGAACATGCACATTTATTTTATTAGTTTGAAAAAAAAATGTATAATCAAATTGACTATTTTAGTAGATATAATAACAAATTTATTAAACCATATATATATTTTTTTTTTCTTACGTTAAAAACCTTTTCAACAAATTTTAATGGGTTGGCCTAATTGAAAAAGACTTCTAACAAATCCCAAAGGGTCGGCGTAGTTGAAAAAGACTTGAACTCTGGTGCCTCATGAAACACCAGTGATTCTGTTGTTAAAAGTTGTGTGATTTTTTTTGGAGCTTTTCACCACGAACATCGCACATTTATTTTATTAATTTATAAAAAAAATGTATAATCAAATTGACTATTTTAGTAGATATAATAACAAATTTATTAAACCATTTTTTTTTTTCCTTACGTTAAAAACCTTTTCAACAAATTCCAATGGATTGGCCTAGTTGAAAAAGACTTCTGACAAATCCCAAAGGGTTAGTGTAGTTGAAAAAGACTTGAACTCTGGTGCCTCATGAAATACCAGTGAGGATGTACTATATTTGTTGATGCGGACTAATAACAAATTACTAAACTAGATATGGTGATATAAATACTTGCCAATATAATTCTTTGATTTTTTTCTAATTTTATAATTAAAGAGGACGTATAACCAGTAGTGATGGCTTAAGTATTGTTCATTTTCTAAATTTTTTGATGAATACACATACCCCCATCTCATCATGTTCAAGCACATTATCATTAAAAAAAAAAAAAAAAATTTGCTATTTGTTCTTTAAAAAGACATCATGAACCTGTACAAATAAGGATAACAATGGACTGGTTTGGCCCTAAACCCTATCCCGCCCGTTGAGCAATACTTCTTCAATACTCGTTTCCATGTCCATCCTCATTTATAGGCAACTCTCACTGGTGATCTGGGTGAAAACGTACCAAAACTATTCAAAACAAAATGCTGGGAAGGAGGAGGACGAATATTCTCCTATCCTGTGCACCAGACTGACACAAAATGTTGGAACACGAGGAGAATGGATCCCCTTCTGTCATGTGCACCATTCGGTGCATCAAAACGTCGTAGTTTTGATGCACCGGATCCTTTAACAGGAGGGGATTAGGGTTCAAGACACGAGACCTAGCCAACCAATAATTGCCCAAGGGTGATGAACCCATATATCCACTTGCTTGTTTGGCGGTTGAGATTTCAGTCAAATAAAGGATAATATGAAGCTCTCTCTTTAAATATGCCAAAGGATTAATTTGTACATACTTTAAAAGATCTTGTTTATCACATAAAACTATTTTGTGACGTTTTGTTGCTTGATTCAACTATCTAAAGTTTTAACACATTACACATTTTTATCTACAATGCTTTGGACACGTGAATTACTATATTTTTTGGTTAAAGTTAAATGCAATACATTTTTTTTCTTTTCTCCAAATTGTGGCAATTCCTGACTTCTCTAATTAGTAGGTAAATTCTTTAAAATTTATGTGTTTCTATATAGGAACCACTTCCTTCGAGAATTCTTTGTACTTTTAATATTATAATTAATGTACTGAAACTCTTTATATTTTTAATAAAAGTATAGATATAAATTTATAACCAACAAAATACTAAATACATAGAATATTTTTTCCACACTTCAATTTCCAAAGATGGGCGTCGATGTTTAAGGCTTCATTGTTTCTTCAAACTTTTTAGCCAAATGTTCCATGTCTCCCATTCCACCATGGCTGGCCCCGGACCTAGGCGGCCCAGGCGGTTGCCTAGGGCCTCCATTTTAAAATGGCCTGGAATGGCTATGTCCCTCAATGTTCATATTTTCTCAAACAACAATTACTTTACAACGGTCTCTTCAGCTTTTGGTCTTGGGCTTCTCTCTTGGCCCTTTTTTTGTTTAGCTCTGCTAGTTACATTTGGGCCTATTTAGACTTCTTTTTGTTTTTCCTATTTTTGACACTGAGTAGCTTTTCTTGGGCCTGCCTTGGGGCAATTCTCCTCCAAATTTTGACTATAATATCTATATATATATATATATATTAAAAAAAACAAATGTGTGTGTGTGTGTGTATATATATATATCTATATAGAAAAGGTAAACAAATAAAAGTATCACGTGTCAGTCTTTTTTTTTTTGTTGTTGAATATTTGCTTTTAATTTTTTGATGTAAACTAGATCGTGTTCTTTATAAAATACCAAAATTAAATTTGTTTTGTGTGTTTTTAATATTAATATATTTTATGTATTTATTAATTAATTTTAATAAAAATTTCGCACAAATAAATTTTTTTCGTTTGTAAAACCATATGTATAAAAGGTCTCGTAATTTAAAAACTCGCCTATAACCTCTCAAAATTTTAAGAATCTCAAAATCTCCCTGTGCGCCACTACACTATTTTAATTTCATGCTTCAAACTATTTCATCGCAAACACTATTTCATCTGCGAATACTATTTCATCATCACTGCTTTACTGTTCCATTCACCACCTACACATTAGACATACCTACATATTATATATATATATATATATATATAGATATCCCTACCCACTAAACATTCATTTTTTTTTTCTTTCTCACATTTATGGTTAGACCCCATGTCTTACAATAATTATTATATGGTACAGCAAACATTCAATTTTTGTTGTATAACTTGAAACATGTAGTGTAATTAAAAAAAAAAATTCAATCACCTTAATTAAAAAAAAAAAAAATAGAAAAAAAAAAATTTTCAATCAAGAATGAGATTTGTAACCACATAAACAATAGATAATTTGAGACTGATAATTTATTTTTTATTTTGTAACCAGCATAAGTTTTCTGCCTGTGAATTGAAAAGAGTATGTTATTTGCATGGTGGTAGGAGTAGGACCGTTTGTATGGTTGGTAATTTTGGAATTTTTTTAATTATTCAAAATAAAAAACAAATATTTATTAGAACAAGAAAGATATAATATACATCTACAACTATGTCATTTCTTTTTCCATATTCATTTATATAATGGAACTATGTGTTCATTACAGGAACTACTTAGCCTTTTTCACTCTCTCTTGTTTTTTCCAGGTATTAATTTCATAAGCACTCTTTTTCTCTCAATAATAAAAAAAGGGTTCTACTAAACATACTATGTGCAAACTAGTATTGCAATTTCAATCTACATATTTTTTCAATTAAGCAATTTTATAAATGTAAAAAAGAAAAAGAAAAGAGCATATCATTTGTTTAACATGCAAACATCCAAGTTTGTAATTCTCTGTCTTTTCACTTTGACACAAAAACATTCATAATTTGTACTTTTTTTGTGTTTATTTATCAATGTTAAAATTATTAATTTAAGTTTACAAGTATTAAACTTCTTTACAAAAGTGCAAATTATAGTGTTTGTCATTTCCAGATTATAATTGATAAAATCAAAGGTAGTAAGTGTTCAGAATTAGATACATATTAAATCACTACAAGGACTGTTAATTTTGTTTTTCCCTTCATTATTTTCATGTCAACATGGTAATAAGCTAACAATAAATTAAAAACTGAAAAAATTACAGACAAAAAAAACAAAAACCGGAAATGGAAAAAAGAAAAGGAAAAGGCAATGTGTGCAGTTGAGGTAATCTATGATCGTCTTTTATCAGATTTTGAACACCCGCAAAACACCCTCTAGAGTGAGAACAATTCGAACATATGGGATATGAGCTACTTTCCAGTAATCTGCACCTCCTCTGCTTTTATCTAGCTTCATAAGCAATTCCATAGGCATTTCAACCAAATCAAGCTTTTGAAGTTTGGTTAGATGCTCAATGCCCGAGGGCATCTCCTTAACCAATTGACAATCGAAAATATAAAGGTTTTCAAGATGAGGCATTGCGCCCTCCTCCATTGTCACCCTTCTCAATCCTTTTAATCGGGTAAGACTTAATATCTTAAGCATCGGAAACCCTCCAGCCTTGAAACACAAATCTTCTCCTTGGTAAGCCTGATCAAGTACAATATTCATCAGGTTGGGCAAATCTTGAAGGGATTGCAGTGGATCATCCCTTAACTTGCTCCATCTTAAATTTAGTCTCACCAGGTTATCAAGAGAGGGTATCCAATGTGGTAACTTCTCTAAACATCCCTGCAAATATAAATTTCGAAGAAACTGAGGCGGCAAATTCGAAGGCAAAGATTGGACATCAAGGATCTCGTCCTCTCCTGTCGAGATCACCATTAATGAACGAAGGTTGCTCAACTTTTCAATGGAGGAGCACAGAGACATTCCATCTTCCCTTCTCAACTTTACAATCCCTAATCTCCTTAGTTGGGTCAGCTTCCCTATAGCACTTCCTGTTAGGATATGTGTGCCCTAGCATAGCAAATTCTAATTTTGGATTGTAAAAGTCATGGTTTCTTGTCTGGATATTATTATTAAAGCATTATACAATTGGTGAATGGAATGTATTATTTTTCGATTCTTTATGGAATTGATGGTGTCCGCTTGATTACAAAATATATTTATATATGTATGTAATGACAATTAATACTATGATATAAATTAGTAATCATAAATGGTTTAAAGTCGGTAATTATGGATGGACATTTAATTAGTTAAGACTTAAACCGAGTCCACGATAGATTGAGATATATTGTGAGAGCTGTCGTATGCAATTGCTCTCTATCACAGTCATGACTTTTGACTCTCAAGCATGAGAGAAGTATAGACTCTTTTATTAATTAATAATTACTTTGATTTGTTCGGCGGATACCTCGGGATCCTTGGATCGACACTTTGGGTAGTTATGTAATTAATAATTAGAGGTCTATATTCTCAATATTTGCATCAATACTATTTGTATTTATTTTGTTTTGATTATGGTTGATCACAAATTAAATTCGAAAGCCTTCGTATGTTTTAGACAAATGTTTTATATATATATATTTATTTAATAAATTATTATTTTTTGTCAAATAAATATTTTATTGTGATCGAGCCGGAAATAATCAAAGGTAACAAAATAATTATATTAATTATGTTGTTGGATTGATGGCTTTAATTATCCGATAAATAATTAAGCATAGAGGGGTCAAAGTGCAACATTGACTTAGAGGTTATTTACTATTTAATTGGAGTGCAATTAATTTCTTTTAGTGGAGTAGAAATTAATTTATGAATTAATTGAATTGGGTCCATGGTTTAATGGACCGGACCAATTATTAATTTATAAGAGCCAAGAAAATAGTAAGCCCAAAAGGATTCTCACCAATAGCCCAAGTTGATATTAGAGTCATGTTAGGATTGAGAAAGTTGAATTAGAGATGGAGAATGATTTATTGTTTCCTTATTCTTATTTTTATTTTGCCTATATATACATGAGTTCATGTATATTTTAGGTGTGACTTGGAGAACAACACTTTCTCTCTCTAGATTTTAGGGTTTTGTTTCTCTTCTAAAGGAGGCTACCACCAGCCTAGATTCCAAGGTCATTCATCAAGGCATATTGGTGATTCCTAAAGGGAAGATAATAATCAAAAAGAAGGAGAAAGGATCTTACTAAAGGGATCTACAATAAGTGAGAACATTCACTTTAGAGGAAAGTTCAAAAGGTTTACTCAGACCTTTGATGTGAGTATTTAATCTATTTATTGAATTATGCATCATCTTTTATTTATCTTTGCATAAAACTTGTCTCCATGTAATGAATCAAGATCTATGATTGCAAATCCCTCAAAAAGTTTTAAAAATTTGCACGTTTCCCAACAGTGGTATCAGAGCACATGGTTTGATTCATTACTAGAGAACATGTGTTTATAAAAATCATATTCATGGATCCAAATTATATATACATATATAAAATTATTGATATATGTTGATGTATGATTTATTATGTTGATATATATTAATACATGTTGATGTATGTATAATTGTGAATGGATGATGATGTGTGTTTGGGCCATGGATGAATCTTATAGGTATATAGAATGTAATTTTATTTTTGGATGAATGTAATTAAGGCTTTGTTTTAGCCGTTTGAAAATTCAATGATGTAATTTAATTTTTTCCATTGTATTTCAAATTGTAAGTATTTATTAAAGCCATGTAATATTCATCAAAGGATGCTATGAAGCTTCAAGAGGGTCCGAAAGGGTTAAATTATGCTTCAGTAATTTTCTGGAATTTTTTCGAATTTTTCAGGAATTTTTTGAGGCTTAATTTAATTTTCTGGGATTTTTCCGAATTTTTTGGAATTTTTTCGGCGTTTTTCCGGTAGCCGGAGCTTCGTCGGCGGCGAGAAGAGGCGTCGGAGGCGGCCCGGATCAGGTGTGGCAGTGGCTTGGTGAGCCTGGCGCGTGTTCTACACGCGCCAGGAGTGGGCTGGTCAATGACAAGCTGGCGCGTGGATCTCACGCGCCAGCCAAGGAGTTGGTACACTCCACGCGCGGGAAGGCGCGTGGAGGCGCGTCCCACGCGCCCTAGGCGCGTGGGAGCGCGTGAGGGTGCATTCCACGCGCCCCAAGCGCGTGCCAGCGCGTGGGGGAGCGTGGGAGCGCGTGCAGCTTGCCCTAGGCCCGTGCCAGCGCGTGTGGGGTCCTCCAGGCTCGTTCCAAGCGGCGTTTTACTTCTCCTGACGCGTACAAGCTTCCTATGGGTGTTTACAGACAATTGAAGGATGCCCGTATAACAAGAATAGTTTTTAAATGTTAAAAGCTGAATCCATTGGCCATTTATATTGCTTCTGTCTATTATTTGATGCATGGAATAATTTAATAGTTGTTATAATTGTTCATGCATTGGATCCATGATTTTTAATTAAATGGCTTGATTTATATTAATTAAATTATGAAGATAAATTGGATTAGATTGCTAATTAATTTGAGGGCATTTATTGGGAAACAGAAAAATTATTTTTAAAAATTATTTTTTGCCTCAAATTAAATATTAGTGAATCATTTAAAATCCATATATTTTCTAAATTTAATTGGATTAAAATCAAGACGTTTTGCATGCATTAAATCATGAATTGAAAACCCTAGTTTTACATTATTAAAAATTGAGTGGGAGCGGGGATTTTTTATACATTACCCCATGGCCTTCGTAATTATAACCATTATGATTAGATCTTTAAAAATAAGGCTCCACGCATGATTTAAAGAGTCTGGATTACAAGAATGGTTGTCTCACGAAAATATATTTATTAAATAACCATTATAGTTAGATCTTTAAAAATAAGGCCCTACGCATGATTTAAAGAGTCTAAGCTATTAATGGCAATATATTTAATATTTATTTTTCCGTTGGAGCATTAATTATGTTATACCCTCAATCTAAAATCAATAGTATTAGCTCCCCAACGGAGTGGTCTATACTAGGTGATTTTAGAAAGGCTAAATCTAATCGGGAATTATTTCATATTTAGATAAGGCATTGTCTAAAGAGATATGGAAATAATGAGTTATTCTCGTCAATAAGTAATAATGAATTCCGCCAACCGGATAAGTTATTGGCATATTGATTGTCCGATTTTTCATGCAATGTGGTTAAGGGACCCACAATTAATTAATTGTTTTATACTTACATGATTATTATTATTCACTTTATTTATTGTATGAATGCTTTTATTTTCAGATTTATCATGACTAGTCCATTCAGTCCACTTGCAAACATACTAAAAGAAAATCGATTAACTGGACCTAATTATATCGATTGGAAAAGGCAACTAGATATTGTACTCACATATGAGGGGTTGAATTATGTGCTTACTACTCCTAGACCTTCTCCACCTTTGCCTGAGGATCCTCCTGAGGAGCATGAAGTATTTAAGAAATGGAATAAAGCAGATGAGATGACTAGGTGCTACATTCTTGCTTCACTCTCGAATGTACTCCAAAGTCAACATCTTCAATATCTCACTTCTGCAGACATTATGCTTAACCTTAAGGAAATATTTGGGCAAATTGGTAAGAGCGCACGCCAAAATGCTATGACAAATTTGATGACCATTAAGATGGTCCAAGGTACTTCAGTTCGGGAACATGCTTTAAAAATGATTGGTTTTTTAAATGAACTGGAGATCCTTGGATGCAACTTGGATGGTGAACTTCAGGTTGACATGATTATCGCTTCATTGCCAGACTCATTTAACTCTTTTAGGGTTAATTATTACATGAATAAGCTTGAGTACACACTCGCTGAACTATTGAATGAGTTGGTAACCTTTGAATGGATAAACAAAAGCAAGGGTGCATCTATCAACTACACTCAGTCTGCTGGACCATCCACTTCTAGGCCCAAGAGGAGGGGCAAGAAAAAGAAGAAGGATGGTGCCAAAACTGTGGTTGTGCCAAACAAAGTAATCCAAAAGGATAAGGGAAAGAAGAAAGTGCGGGTTGAAGGCGAAGGAAACTGCTTCCATTGCGGTCAACCGGGTCACTGGACACCTAACTGCCCAATACTTCGCACACAAGGCAAAGGAAAAGGTATATTCATTGTTGAGGCATGTAATGTGGTTGAATCTATAGATTCCTGGTGCATAGATTCTGGAGCCACTAATCATGTTTGCAATTCATTGCAGGGATTCCAGGAGTCCAGAAGCCTCAATGAAGGAGAGATATACTTGCATATGGGATCTAATGCCAAGGTGGAAGGTAAAGCAGTGGGAGTGGTTCATATGCAGTTTGACAGTGGGAGGAGTCTTATTTTAGAAGATTGTCTTTATGCGCCAAATGTTAGGCATAATTTAATTTCAGTTTCTTCGTTGGTTTGCAAAAATTATATTTTTACTTTTGGAAAAAATGTTTTAATTAAATTAAATGGTTGTGTTATAACTTCTGGTGCATTGAAAGATAATCTATATGTTTTAACTCCTAGCTCATATCAAATGCAAAATTATGAATTAAATGCAACTTCATCTAGATTGAATGTTAAAAGAAAAGCAGTTTCTCCAAACTCATTGTATCATTGGCATCTACGATTGGGTCACATCAATCAAAATAGGATTCAAAGGTTGGTTAAAGAAGGTTTATTACCTGGTGAGGCAGAGGAGCCTATGCCAACTTGTGAATCCTGTATTGAAAGAAAGATGACTCGAAGGGCTTACTCAGCCAAAGGAGATAGAGCCAAAGAACAATTAGAGTTGGTGCACACAGACGTGTGTGGTCCCATGAACACCCAAGCGAGAGGAGGGTTTGAGTACTTCATCACTTTCATTGATGATTATTCACGTTTTGGATATATTTACCTAATGCGACACAAGTCAGAAGCTTATGGAAAATTCCGTGAGTTTCAGGCGGAAGTGGAGCGTAAATTAAGTAAACTTATCAAAACACTTCGATCTGATCGAGGAGGTGAATACCTCTTGGGGGAGTTCAAGGATCATATGGTCAATGAGGGTATTGTGCGCCAGTTATCCGCACCTGACTGCCCTCAACAGAATGGAGTGGCAGAAAGGAGAAACAGAACTTTACTTAACATGGTTAGATCTATGATGAGTTTTGCTACATTACCTCTATCATTTTGGGGATTAGCCTTAGAATCAGCGATGTATATTTTGAACTGTGTTCCATCCAAGGCTGTTTCAGGAACGCCATATGAGCTGTGGTTTGGACGTAAACCTAGTTTAAATCACATGTATATATGGGGGTGTCCAGTACACGTGCGAAAGAAACAGGCAGACAAGTTGGAAGCAAGATCAGATGCATGCTTATTTGTTGGCTATCCTAAGGGCACTAGAGGTGGATCATTTTATGATCCCAGGGACAATAAGGTTATTGTCAGCACTCATGCTATTTACCTGGAGGAGGATTATATTATGAATCACAAACCTAGTAGCCAGATAGTGTTAGAGGAGATGGTTGGCACGTCAGAGATACCCCCAGTGGACACACCTAATATAAATACTGAGAATGATGAGACACAAGAAGTCCCTGTTGAATTACCATCATCTAGTACATCGATTCCTGCACCGGTCCTTCGGCGTAGTGGGAGGACTATCATCCAACCCGAAAAACTCACATTTTTGGGTGAGGTCTATGAGGCCGTCCCCGATAAGCATGAGTCGGACCCAGTAAGCTATGCGGAAGCGTTGACCGATATAGATGCGAATCGTTGGAAAGATGCCATGAAATCAGAGTTGGAATCGATGTATTCTAACAAAGTCTGGGATGTTGTAGAACTTCCTAGTGGGGTTCAGCCCATTGGTTGTAAGTGGATCTACAAACGAAAGAGAGGAATGGATGGGAATGTTGAGACATTCAAAGCTAGACTGGTTACCAAAGGCTTCACTCAACGTGAAGGTATTGATTATGAGGATACATTCTCACCAGTTGCAATGCTTAAATCTATTCGCATTCTTTTGGCCATTAGTGCTTATTATGACTATGAAATATGGCAGATGGATGTTTTAAATGGCCATCTTGAACAAGACATCTACATGAGGCAACCAGATGGTTTCGTGGTTAAAGGTCGTGAGAACTGTGTATGTAAGTTGAATAGGTCTATTTATGGACTTAAGCAAGCTTCACGCACATGGAACATTTGTTTTGATCAGGCAGTCAAATTATTTGGCTTTGAACAAAACGTGTTTGAACCTTGCGTTTACAAGAAAAAACAGGGTAATGTCATCATGATTCTCGTTTTATATGTTGATGACATCTTGCTCATTGGTAATGATGTAGAAGCATTGTCATCAGTTAAAAGGTGGTTGTTCAATAAATTTGAGATGAAAGATCTTGGAGAAGCAAGCTATATTCTTGGGATCAAGCTTATGCGAGATCGGGTTAAAAAGAAAATAGGCTTGTCTCAAGAGTCTTACATTGACAAAGTTCTGATCAGGTTTGGAATGGAAAACTCTAAGAAAGGGTTTTTGCCATTTAGACATGGGTTGGCTCTTTCTAATGACCAGTCTCCCAAGACTGATAAGGAAGTTGAGCAAATGAGGCGGATACCATACGCTTCGGCAGTTGGTAGTCTCATGTATGCCATGGTCTGTACCAGACCGGACATCTGCTACTCGGTAGGGATTGTCAGTAGATATCAGTCCAATCCTGGACTTGATCATTGGTCAGCTGTGAAGAATATCTTAAAATACCTTAGAAGAACTAAGAATCTAATGCTCATTTATGGAGGTGATGATCTGGTTCCAGTCGGATATACGGATTCTGATTTTCAATCAGATCCAGATGCCAGGAGATCTACATCTGGATATGTGTTTAAGTTCAATGGAGGGGCAGTTAGTTGGAAGAGTGTCAAGCAGGGTTGTACTGCTGACTCAACCATGGAAGCAGAATACATTGCAGCCTCTGAGGCAGCAAAAGAAGCTGTTTGGTTGAGAAACTTTCTAATTGAACCGGAGGTTGTGGAGCATATAGATCGGCCTATGACGCTTCATTGTGATAATAGTGCAGCTATAGCCCAAACCAAGGACCCAAAATTTCATAAAGGAACAAGACACATTCAGAGGAAACATCATGTGGTCCGTGATATAGTAAAGCGAGGAGATATACTTGTGGCCAAGATTGCATCGGAACATAACCTTGCTGATCCATTCACAAAGGCTTTACCGATCAAGATGTTTGATCGTCATATGGAGAATATGGGAGTTAGATGTGATTTGAATTGGCTATAAGTGCAAGTGGGAGCTGTTAGGATATGTGTGCCCTAGCATAGCAAATTCTAATTTTGGATTGTAAAAGTCATGGTTTCTTGTCTGGATATTATTATTAAAGCATTATACAATTGGTGAATGGAATGTATTATTTTTCGATTCTTTATGGAATTGATGGTGTTTGCTTGATTACAAAATATATTTATATATGTATGTAATGGCAATTAATACTATGATATAAATTAGTAATCATAAATGGTTTAAAGTCGGTAATTATGGATGGACATTTAATTAGTTAAGACTTAAACCGAGTCCACGATAGATTGAGATATATTGCGAGAGCTGTCGTATGCAATTGCTCTCTATCACAGTCATGGCTTTTGACTCTCAAGCATGAGAGAAGTATAGACTCTTTTATTAATTAATAATTACTTTGATTTGTTCGGCGGATACCTCGGGATCCTTAGATCGACACTTTGGGTAGTTATGTAATTAATAATTAGAGGTCTATATTCTCAATATTTGCATCAGTGCTATTTGTATTTATTTTGTTTTGGTTATGATTGATCACAAATTAAATTCGAAGGCCTTCGTATGTTTTAGACAAATGTTTTATATATATATATATATTTATTTAATAAATTATTATTTTTTGTCAAATAAATATTTTATTGTGATTGAGCCGGAAATAATCAAAGGTAACAAAATAATTATATTAATTATGTTGTCGGATTGATGGCTTTAATTATCCGATAAATAATTAAGCATAGAGGGGTCAAAGTGCAACATTGACTTAGAGGTTATTTACTATTTAATTGGAGTGCAATTAATTTCTTTTAGTGGAGTAGAAATTAATTTATGAATTAATTGAATTGGGTCCATGGTTTAATGGACCGGACCAATTATTAATTTATAAGAGCCAAGAAAATAGTAAGCCCAAAAGGATTCTCACCAATAGCCCAAGTTGATATTGGAGTCATGTTAGGATTGAGAAAGTTGAATTAGAGATGGAGAATGATTTATTGTTTCCTTATTCTTATTTTTATTTTGCCTATATATACATGAGTTCATGTATATTTTAGGTGTGACTTGGAGAACAACACTTTCTCTCTCTAGATTTTAGGGTTTTGTTTCTCTTCTAAAGGAGGCTACCACCAGCCTAGATTCCAAGGTCATTCATCAAAGCATATTGGTGATTCCTAAAGGGAAGATAATAATCAAAAAGAAGGAGAAAGGATCTTGCTAAAGGGATCTACAATAAGTGAGAACATTCACTTTAGAGGAAAGTTCAAAAGGTTTACTCAGACCTTTGATGTGAGTATTTAATCTGTTTATTGAATTATGCATCATCTTTTATTTATCTTTGCATAAAACTTGTCTCCATGTAATGAATCAAGATCTATGATTGCAAATCCTTCAAAAAGTTTTAAAAATTTGCACGTTTCCCAACACTCCCACCATCACCACCACTTGCATCCACGTAACAAAGCTTTTGCAACGACGACAAATCTCCAATTACCTTTGATACTGCAAAGCCATGTGTACCGTGAAAAGGTGGAATAAATCCTTCAAAAGTCGCGTACCTATACACCAGGAGATGACGAAGTCGTCGGAGCTTCTGTATCTCAACTGGCAACTTAGTAACATACGTCTCTTTCAGATCCAAAGTTTCAAGATCTACAAGGTCGCCGATAGAGTTTGGAAGCATTTTCACATTGGTTCCCCTCAAGCTTAGATATCTAAGACAAAACAGTTTGAAAACAACTTCTGGAACTGTCTCCAAAGAAGCATTTCTCAACTCTAAAACCTTCAGCAACCTACAATTACCACTAAACAATATTGGCATTGATGACTTGGATAAAGGATCACTCACACCAAACATGAATAACGAACGAAGCTGGGAGAGTCGCTTGCTTTGTTGTACAATTCCGAAGGTCCCATTATGGATTGATAAGCGTCGAACTTTTCCAGGCGACCTCTCGATTTGTTCACTGGCTATAGTTGCAACATTCTGTTCTCTCGACTTCGGAATACTAATAATTTCACGCAAAAGGTCGTGAATACGACACGTTTTCGCCCTTCCATCAACAGTTTTCTCTGTCACTTGGATCAGACTTCTATTGAGAAGCTCGTAGACATATCCCTCAGCAACTTCTTCAATTGTCAATCCATCTTCACTGACTTGGACAAATCCTTCCGCTGTCCACAATCGAATCAATCTCATACATTCAATCTCATGATCCTCTGGGAAAATGCTCAAATACAAGAAACAAATTTTGAGATACCAAGGCAGATCGTTGTAACTCAAACAGAGTATATTTTTCATGTTCTGAAGCTTATTGTTAGCTTCAAGGCTGCGATGAAGCATATGCCATTCATCAATCCTACTCTGGTTCTTCGTTGCCAAAACACCACCAATCGCCACGATTGCAAGGGGCAGCCCCTCGCATCTTTTTAAGATTCTTCGAGAAATATCCTCCAAATGCCGAGGGCAGGAGGACTTGCCCGGAAATGCCTTTCTACAAAACAGAGTCCAAGCGTCTTCCAAAGACAATGGATTCAAAGAATAAACATTACCACCGGTTTCTGCGCAAGTGGTGGAAGCTATATCTTCAGAACGTGTAGTAAGCACGATTAGATTCTTGGAAATGGAATATTATTAATTTTAAAATTAATACATTGGGTGGCCGTAAGCTAACTGTAAATTATTTTTTTCCTCTAAATCATTAAAACATTATTTATATTTTATTTTATGATTGATTCATTTAGCCATTTTGATTTCTTGGACAAATAATTATTATTTGAAGTACTAGTGTGTTTTTTTAATTCTAACGTACCTACTGTACATTGTTTTAAGTGACGCCAAAGTCTTAACTATTTTTTAAAAAGAATAGTTCCATGAAGAAGGTTCATGTCATTATAAAATTGCGTAAATATTTGAAGTACACAATTTTATCTTTATATTTATATTTAGAGAGACCTTCTTCTTATTTTTAATAAATGACCTTCAAATTACAAACAAAGCAATCTTGTTAAATTTTGTTCTTCCTCGCGTCCGAATTAATATCAAATATTTTATGAACAAAATAATAAATATAAGTAAAGTTATAAAATGTAGAAAACAAAAGGAATCTCAGAACTTGAAGATGCAATAAAGTTTGAAAGCAAAAGATATCTCAGAACTTGGCTTACATTACCAGCCACCCATTCCTAATCTTGAAATTGATTAACATAATTTGTGAATAAAAATTAAAAATTGACTATGATAAAAGTCCAGGCTCTACTACTAAGGATGGGTGTGGTGCGCAGTTTGAATATTTTAATTTTATTTTTATTACTACAACCTAAATTAGAGCACATATGCGATTTTGACTTTTTAATAATTTAATTAATTATTTTCAACTATTTCATCCCAAAACAATATTGAATATAAAATCAATCATAGATTAAAAATTACATGACTTAATATACTGAACTCCATAATTTACATTTGCTGATGTTTGATAAGGAAATATAATTGGTGGTTCAAATGTACTCTCCACAGGCTCTCCATCACACGTCTTAAGAAATTATTATATAGTGGTGAAATAATGGGGGTTCCAATCAATCTCTGAACATGTAAATTAAAAACTAAATAAATTTGACATAGAAATGACACAATCCTTCAGGTATGATACAAGGTGCAGCCACTGCCCTCCCACATGTCAAGCTCACAATTGGTCAAAAGTATGACCCTCCCAATTGACTAAAAAACCCTCCCACTACTACCACATCCCATTTATGCCATTTACATAGCCCTTCATGAAATAACCAAATCACATACCATATAAATAATCAAAATAAAGAAATTAACACTAATCTTGACAATAAAAAAAATAAAAAAAATTAAATTTGCACAAATGTGGAATGTTCGGAAATCAAAAAACAAGAAACATCACATGCTCACAATAATGCAATCAATATACATAATTTATAAAAATAAATTATAAATAATCAAACCATGCTACTTGGTCTACAGTTACATCAATGCCCGAAGAGAAGATTTAGCTACTCATGGAGAAGGAAGATAACATCATTGTCGTTGTAAACATCTTCTCCATGGACTGCAATTTCTTAAGAATAATCAAACCATACTACTTGGTCTACGGTTACATCAATGCCCTAAGAGAAGATTTAGCTACTTATGGAGAAGGAAGATAACATCATTGTCGTTGCAGACATCTTCTCCATGGACTGCAATTTCTTCTTAATGTTGTCTTCTTGATTAAAGCCACCAAGAAGTCTCTCCTGTCTCCTCCTCCCTTCTACTTGACGTCTCTCTCTCTCTCTATATATATATGTGTGTGTGTATGTATATATGTTGTAAGGTTTCCTCCCAGAGAAAGGGAAATAGAAAAAACCAGGCAAAAGAAAGAAACCCAATTAGTTTTCTATATTTTTGCCAGTTTGTAACGCTGTTTTGGCCTATTTGGAGTACGAATCTAGAAATTTCTATTAGACTCAAAAATGACGGGCTTTGGGTCTTCTTTTCAGAGCCACTGAGTTTGCCAAATTATAAGGTTCGGGTAAAACTTATACCCAAAACACTGAAGCAGGTGCAAAATTTTATGTTCAACTCGTTTCCTTATTTGAATAGGAAAGCTTCTTTTCTTCATATAATGACCCAAAACAAATTTTGCTTGCTGGAAAATCCTTTAAAAGTCTTCTAGAATTATCCTTGAATGATCTTGGCCATTGGGTTACCTTGGATACTCTAGTTCTTGTGGTCTTTATTTGTCAATTGAACTCAAAGAGTTTACAAACAACGGGATTGACTGAATTTCAAGAGATTACCTAAAAATGACAAAAATAAAGAAAATAGCACAAGTACTATGTAAGCATCACTAAAGAGTCATAAAATGCAAGTTTAAGGGCTTGAATGTGCAACATTCAATACTTATCAAGTATCCAAAATCATTTTGATCTATTTATGATGGAATTGATAAGTTGTCTCCCAATCAGAATCTAACGAATGTTCTGAAGAATTACCTTTGGAGATTTGAAAAAAATCATGATAATGATACCATTTTTTGTTAGATAATGAAGTTGCGAATTCAAAGAATAGAAAAAGAGGAATCAAAGAAAAGAAAAATGGATTTGAGGAAAGACGAAGAAAAATGGTATCATTATCATTATCATTTTTCGAATCAAAGAAAAGAAAAATGGTATGTTCCGAATTTCGGGGACGAAATTCCTTTAAGGAGGTAGGTTGTAATGACCCGATCATTTACCTTTCTTTCCTTTTTCCAAAATTTCACGAATAAATCTTTTTCGTTTAATTTTCTTTTCTGAGTTCTGTTTCTCGTCACTGAGGGTTGTCTCGAGTGCTTGAAAATGGTTTCTGAGACTCTTTCGTTTGGATTGACAACTTCCTTTAAGGACCGAGTCATTTCCATATTTTCATTTTTTTGACACTATTCACTTTTCGTCATTTTCCCTATTTCGTCTTTTCCCCGTTTGTCACTTTTGGCACAACCTCACTTTTCATACTCGGAGTTGGTTTTTGACTTCACGTGCCTTCATTCTAAGTGATTTCCACGAAATACGTATCTTTACTTTTGTAGAAAAGTGCTCTAGTTGCTCCCAGTGTTCATAGGGGTATGGATTTACAATTCTTCAGAATCTTTTTATTTTCTTTGGGTGTTTTTCATAAATATCTTTTGAAGATATTTTATTTCAGGGATTTATAAGAAAATATTTTTGGAAGATATTTTCATTCTGGGCCAGTTGGGCAATTTTCACTTTTTGGAAGGGCCCATTGTAATTAACGAAAGTTATTGCAAAATACCTCGTTTTGAGTCTGGATCCTCGTACGGGATTCATTTTCACATTTTGTTGAGTCATGTACTCATAAGATTTCTTTCTGATCGTTTTTCTCCAGTTTCAGGGTTTATGATCCCGATTGCCGCCGAACTTGTTCGGGGTATATCTCTCTGTTCAGGATTCAATTTTCGACGTCGTTTCTTCCGTTGTTCATATTTTCTCATTTTGAATGTTTTTCGTTCACGGAGTTTCTCCGTTTGAGCACGTTTGCTCAAAATCTTCTTTTCCGGACCCGGCGGGGCCCTTTCTGGGCACTTTTAGGGTTTTATTATAAATAGGAGGTTATAAAATTAAAAATTTATCTTCCCCTCTCTTCATGCACAACCAAAAGCTGCCATGGCAACCCAACGGGGGCTGCCACCCTTCTTTTCTCAATTAAACCTTCTTCCCTTTGTTAAAAAGTCATAGTGCCTTCGTGTTTTGTGTTCGCCTTGCTGACGCCCACCTTTCACCCTTTTTAGAATTCATTTCTGACCATTTCTTGAGTTCGGGTTTGAAGTCAAGTTATGATTTTCATGGGGCTTCCTTGGAATTTTTGTTCATCGTGTTGTCCCCGACAAAACCCCGCGGTATTGTCGGATTCGAAGTATTTTTCTTTTGATGGCTTTTGAGATTTTCATCTCAAATTGAGGTAGGGGTGTTATAATTTATATTCTTGTTATATTGCATGCTATTGATGCTTATACAACTCATTTACAAGTCTTTGTATCAAATCTAGAAACTTTAATTAATTATTTCTTTGTATAAGATTTAATTTCCCGGTTGCTCATGGTTTGATTTAAACATGTGGCATGATATTAGATTACCCCTTGATATGGTCATTGACATATATTAAATTAAAAATATTTGAACAAGTAATGAAGATTTTATTTAATATTTTTCTTGAATAAAAGATTAATTCATATGGTCTTAACTAGCTTGAAATTAACATGTGTTGTTATATTATATTAGGCCCTAGCATGCTCTTCAACATAGGTGAATTTAAGAGTAATCGGAGATTTTTTGAAATCTAGTAATATTTAATTAATTTATTTCATGTGCACTATTTATTCTATTAGATTTCCGACTTGATATTCTTGATGTGCATGCCATATACTTTCACATATATTAAATCGAGAATATTTGATTAGGTTTTGAAATCTTTGCTTTAATTATTTTCTAATATTAAAGTTTAATACTCATGGCCGTACCTTGCATAGAAAATTCTTGTAACGTGCTTTTAAATCAAGTCTTGACATGTTATATAACATATATTAAATTGAGATCATTTGGATGAATTTCAAAACTTAGGGATTTTAATTAAAATGATTAATTAAAATCAATTCAATGGCACCTTGGTCTTGATTAAGTTTCTAACTTAGTATTTATGATTTCCTTGACAAGTTCCTTCACGTATATCAATTTGAGAATAATCGGATAAGTTTTGAAACTTATATTTAATTATTTCATTTGTATGGAACTAAATCCACATGGTCGTGTCTTATATGAAATGAACATGTAACTTGATATTGAACTTGTCCTTGACACAATCCTTGACTTGCCTTGTAATCTTGACAATTTAATCCTTTAAGTAGATTAAATTTCCTTATATACTTCCGTCGAGTTAATCATGCATTGATATTGAATTCTTGTTAAACTTGTGAATTTGACTTATATTTCATGAACTTTTATCTTTTTATCAAGTATCGTGACCCCTTGTACCTAGGTTTCATTAATGTACTTAATGAATATGCACATTTATCTTGGAAGGTTTAATTACACATGTGTTGTTTAGTAAGT